CCGAAACCCTAAGCCCGAAACCCTGAACCCTAGACCCTAAACCCTAAACCCTAAACCCTGAACCCAAACCCTAATCCCGAAACCCGCCTACATCTCCAAGTCTCAGGTCTCAGTGCCAGGAGACACTCCGCCCGAAGAAGCCCAGAAGCCCTAAGCCTAAATAAATCCTGAATCCTAAACCCTGGGTTTAGGGTTTAGGGTTTAGGGTTCATCAAAGGCATCTAAACGACCCCGATCCTGACCCTGTTTTGCTACCTTGACTTGCAGCCAGATGAGTGCGCAACTCGTCTGTGCTAACCTACTTCGTTGTCAATGCTACAGCTCACTCCGGGCTAATTAAATTCCTGTATGATCACTCTGGAACCCTCCTGTAGAAATGAGACAACCTTTTAACACTGGGCCGTTCGCAATGAGGTCTTACGTTTCACATCTTTCGTTGTTGTATCTTTACTGCACTCACGCTGCTTCGCAAAAGTGGTGCTTCACACTGAGTTTCTTCACACCGCCTAAAAAACAGAAGAACTCTATTTAAAAACTGTATACAACAAAAGCTAAAAACAAAGTACACAACAAGAAAGCTTTTTTGAAAAAACAAAAAAAACGAGGCCCGGGCCGAACTCGGCGTTGAGGCACTCCCGCGCCCCGGCGGCCAGGCCCTCCTGAAGTCGGCTGACGTACCTTCTTTCGGCTAAAGGAAACTACAGGTGGGGAGTTTAGGGTTTTAAGGATTTAAGGTTTAGGGTTTTAGGGTTTAGGGTTTAGGGTTTAGGAAACTACAGGTGGGGAGCTTAGGTTATATAGGGCTTCTATAAGGTATATAAACCTTCAATAAGGCTCCTATAACGGTAACCACCACCTGAAAATGTCCTCGATCTTTCGGAGTCAAAGCTTTTAGGCGGTTCGGGGTTTAGGGTTTAGGGGTGTAGGGTTTAGGGTCTAAGGGTTTGGGGTTTAGGGATTCAGGGTTTAGGGTCTAAGGGTTTACGGTGTAGGGGTTTAGGGTTTAGGGGCTGACTAGGAAAATGAAAACGGAGAGGGGGCCCCCGCCCCCCCTCTCTCTCGTGAAAATCGATGCGCCGATTCCCCCCTCCCGGGCCATTTGAGAAATGTGTTTTCGGTGTGGCCATTAGAGAAATGTGTTTTTCGGTGTAGTTTTGACCACCCCGTTTTGCGCGTCCCACCGAGTTGTTCATCTTCGACGTGCCGAGCTTTGATAGAAGTGCTACAGGGTTCTATTCTTAGGGCACGATTACATACGGCTTTATGGCTTAGACTTAGATGGAGTCCTATATGTCCCTGTTGAGATTAGGGGTTCCTGAGTTCTCAGGGCTTCTAGAGCTCCTAGGGGGATATAGCACTTGCCTGGTTTTTTTTTCGCGGTTCACTCTCTTTAGACCAATGATTCTTGGGGGTCCTGCAATCGGGGCGCAGTGTTTGGAGTTCTGGGGGTCGCTAGTCTGGGGTTTAATGTAGGGGACTCAACTAGCATAGGGCTGGGGGGGGTGTTATATAACAAGGAGCGCTAAGGAATGAGACAGGTGGTCCTTCAGGCTGCTGCAGTAAACGGTGAAGCTTGGGGCTTGAGGTGCGGAGGCTGGCTGTTTAAAGAGAGGATGCAGGGACCATGCTTCGTGGAGTGGAGCAGGAGACTGTGAGCTTGGAGCCGCCCTAAACCCTAAACCCTAAACCCTACTTGGGGTTTATGGCTTAGGCTCCGCATCCCTACATCTCCAAACCCCGTCTTGCCGCGCTTTTTCGAGGGAACCCGATATCCCCCAACTAGGGTCTAGGGTTTAGGGTTTAGGGTGTAGGGTTGTGTGAGTTAGAGACCCCACTAATGTAGAATCTTGGAACCCTAAACCCTAAACCCTAAACCCTAAACCCTAAACCCTGAACCCTAAACCCTTTAAAGAGATCCTAGAACTTTGGAGCTCGAGGGCCAAGGTTTCTTAATCAGATTCCTAGATTAGGAGCTAAACACTATACCCGAAGTTAGAATTCAGGGTTGAGGGTTTAAGGTTTAGGGTTTAGGGCTTAGGGCTTAGGGCCTTAAGGTTTAGGGTTTAGGATTTAGGGTCTAGGGTTTAGGGTCTAGGGCTTACGGTTTCGGGTTTAGGGTTTAGGGTTCAGTGTTTAGGGCTTAGGGTTTAGGGCTCAGGGCTTCGGAATTTCGGGTTTAGGGTTTAGGGCTATTTTAAGGGGCGTTAGGGGGGTTGCTGGGCCAAGCCTTGCCTCGCTCCGGGCGAAGGAGGCTCAGGCAGTGGCATCGCCTTGAGAGCAACGCAGTTTAGGGTTTTAGTGTTTAGCGTTTAGGGTTTAGGGTTTAGGGTTTAGGGTTTAGGGCTTTAGCGCTTTAGGGGTTGAGGGTTGAGGGTTTAGGGTTTAGGGTTTAGGGTTTAGGGTTTAGGGTTTAGGGTTTAGGGTTTGTTTAGGGTATCGTTTCGGGATCATCAGTATTCCATTGAGGGCTCTGTGTAAGGGATCATAAGAAGTCTCGTCGGGTTATTGCACCGTTTCCGTATTACGGTACCTTAAAGTAATAAAATGGGGTTCTATTCTGGGTTCTTGTTCAGGGGTTTTCACTAAATCCTTTATCAAGGACACAGAATAGAACCCCGAGCAGGCAAAACCAAAAGGCCCGTCTTGTAGCTTGAAGAGTTGAAAACTTTAAGGGGAATCCCAGTAACGGTTTGGGTTTAATGTGTACGGTTTGGGGTTTAGGGGAGTTAGCTATGAGATGGTTATTGATTCGGAGAAACTCAGGGTGTTTCAGAGTATGTATATATATATATATACACACATACAATCATACTAGTTACTCTAGACCCATTTTATGGTAACTCAGTTTAAGTTTCTTAGCAAGAACCCGTATACGCCCTAAACCCCAAACCCCTGAACCCTAAATTCGTAACCCTAGGCCCCAAACCCCTTATAAACCCCAAGCCCCTGAACCCTGAACCCCAAAACCCTAAACCCCAAACCCTCAATCTTAACCCCCAAACTACTAAACCTTAACCCTAAACCTCTAAACCCGAAACCCCTAAGCCCTAAACCGTAGTACAAAACCCTAAGTAGAACCGATCAACCAGATCCATGGATCCCTTAAGCAGCGCCACAGTTTCGACTCCAATCACTGGGGTTTAGGGTTTAGGGTTTAGGGTTTAGGGTTCAGGGTTTAGGGTTTAGGGTTTAAGGTATGTTAGGAAGTCCACAGCACAAGCGCCTGTGTGGTGTCGCAGTGGATGGATACGCCAGGGTCGCCGTACTTTACACGCACCTCTCCAGGTGTCTGTGGGCTTGACTAATGTGCAACTTTACGGGGACTAGAAAGGGATAGGATTAGCAGTCATTCCGGCCTAAACCCTAAACCCTAAACCCCAAACCCTAAACCCTAGACCCTAAACCCCAGCAACTATTCCGACCCCAGTGCGATACTAGGGAGGCGCGAGCGTTTTGGGTCCAGGGCTGCGCAACAGGAACTCCTCATTTTCAGAGACCTCCACCCCTAGGGCTTTAGGTCTCAGGGCAGCAGGGTGCAGGACTCGTAATCGTAAAGGGGCTCGAGTCTCCCTTTCTTAGCCGGCCAACGACGTCAGCAGGTAGATCAAGGAATCAGGGTTTGGGGCAGGTTTTGTAAGGTTTTTTGAGCAACTTTGGCAGATCCTTAGTAAGGGTACCGTTAACTCAGGGTGCAATCGTGTAGAGTCTGCGGTGTTTGCATGAGGCTTTTGGATTTTGTAGGAATCTATAGGGCCTATGGGTCTGTAGGGGATAATCAATGCTCATGCAGACCTCTAGTTTAAGGGCTTCGGGCTTTAGGCAGCGAGGCGTAAAGTGGATTCCACATGGCTTTTGACTTCAACAGGTGGGTTGAAAACGCCTTTCAGGGTGTTTAATTTACCCTAACCCCGAAACCCTAAACCC